TTTTTTTTTTTTTTTTTGTTTTTTTTTTAAAGGAAAATATAACTGACTTTGTTTTTGTTTTGCTTTTAAATAGGCAGCAGAGTTAGGTCAGACATTAAATGAAAATGTTCTCAAACCTGCACAGGAAAAGGTAACTTTGGAACTAGTAAATTACTTGCAGAACATGGTTATGCTGACTTAGGGAGTGATTGTTTCCTCCTGCCACAACTGCCCAGTTTGTCAGTGCGTCCTTCTGTTTTTTCATATACTAGCACAGTAGCAAAGGGGAAACATCAAATAATTTAAAGCTAGTATGTTAGCAAAGAAAGATTCATGAGCGTAATTTCTCTCCGCTGATCTTTTTCACGTCCGCAAGAGCCTGTTACATTCTTCCCTGTTAGATACTATTTTATACATTTCATGCTTTCAATAATGGAAGATGGGACAAGATGAAAATGCACCCTAAATGGATATAAAAATCAGTTATTTAAAAAAAAACCCTATTAGTAGTATCTTTGAGTGTTAAGTTCATAGTGTTTTACCTGTCTGCCTGCCAGCATTATTTTAATTCAGCTAAGTAACTTTGAGCCACTGTAGTTCATCTGCTGCCTCATCGGGGGCAGTAGAATTTGGGGCAAAGTATATGTTTAAGATGAATGGGGACAACTTATCAATAGAAGTGACATGTTCTTGCAACTTTTATTTGGTATTCGTTCAGAATATTCCGGTAGTCGGTTAAAACCAAGTTTTGCATGCATTCATATGCAAAGTGTGGTCTAAAGTAACATTTTGATTAGCGGTTCTAGTTACTGTGTTGTTTCTAGGAAACTAGTTTGAAGCAGATTTTCATCTTCCCTTTACAATTGTTAGTGACCAGAACCATGTCGCTAACGGCATTTCCAACAGCAGCTGGAAGAAAGCACACATGCTGACCTGAGTAAATACAGATAGTCACTAGTGGGCATGTAAAAAAGGCGAGGCAGTCCTCGTAAGTGACTAGAGATCACTGATACTACAAATTTTAGTCAAAGATTCTCCCTAGCGTCAAATGTTGCCTTCCTGTTTCATATGTTTAAAAAAAGTGTACTTTTACATCTTCCCCGTTTGGCATGTATTTGTTCTGTGCTTCTAGAACTTTGGATCAGCTCCAACATTTTGTATAAGTCTTTTCTGAGAATGTGGTGCTCTACTTACCTACGTACCTTTTCCCAAAATATATTGGTTTTGATAAAGCAGACTAATTTTGCTCTCGTAAGAGAAGCAGTGCCACCACTTTAGGATATGGATTAATATTCAATTTGAAAAGAATGGTTTAATCACATTACAAAATAATTTCTCTTGCATTACCTTTAGTAATTCAACATTTTTTACATAGCATTTCAAATCACAGGATTCAGATTTTTTAGATGCATTATTTTCAGGGTTATTTTTAGGGTTCATTTCCTTGAGCTGATTTTTATTTTGTAGGACAATTTAATGAGGAATGTTGCATTCTATATTTAAAAAAAAAAAGGTCTATTACCCTTAGGATGTTGTGCTGTTAGTTATAAATAAGTGTTACTTTCTGAAGTAAGTATTCAGTGATCACTGCCTGGCACATATATGGGTATATAAAGTCACTTGCTTTGGAACAGCTGCCATTTATTAATTGGTGAAAGGCACCAATTGTGTTCTGATTGACCAAAGTTCAAAGCCCTTTTAATATTTAAATAACCATGTAAAAAGATAGAGACTAAAATAGATCTGATAGGTTTTTAATACCTCCAAACCAAATCTTTTTATATAGTAAAATATATTTATAAAATGTCTCATTTGCTGATTTTTTTTTTTTGTACTGGTGTTTTTATGCTCAGCATTAGTGTAATGATACCTTCCTCAAACTGTATGTATATCAATAGACAATTCCCACAAAGGACTGAGGTTCATTCCATTATAGATCAATGGACTTTATATGTCATTTTCTTAACTTTGTTAGTTTTGACTTAAGTATATTTTGATTCACTTTGGGGTTTTTTTTACACTTTTTGTCTTTAGCTGTTGAGCACAAGTAAGCTTGTCTTAAGTTTTCAATAACACTTCATTTTATGACTAATTACCAATACTTTGATTCACATAGGTGAAAGAGGGGAAAATATTTGAGGAGGTCACCGTGGGGGTATCACAGTTGGCCAGCAAGGTATGAAGTGGCCTGCCTGCCTTTAAGGAGGCCAAACAGTAAGCCAGTCTCCATATTCTTATGAAAAGTTTGTAGTGAAACAAAACCCCAATGCAGCTTTAGTCTCCGCTTGTGTTGAATACAGACATTTTGAAAGTGGAAACAAAACCCCAATGCAGCTTTAGTCTCTGCTTGTTGAATACAGACATTTTGAAAGTATGATTTTCAGTGTGCAGTACTTCTGTTGGGGTGTTAAAAAGCTATACAGGTATGATGTAGTCCTCGTAATAGTTTCACCAACGTCAGGATGTAGAGTTCTAAGACAGCCGGTGTCCCAAACACAAAAAGAAAATGTCTGCTAGAGAATATGGAGACAGCTTGCGTTATGTTTGGACGCTTGAACTTACTAATGTTCTGTACCTTTTTTTCTTTGTCTTCTTTTGCTATCATTGCTTGGTAACGTGGTAAGTGCTCTCTACAACTGCTAAGAACAGAAGTCCTGCACAATCTAATACCTATTTTGATAATTTGTATGGTGTTACCTAGGAGAGTCTGTCTTCCTAGCACTGTGAAAGTCAGCACTGGAAGCTCTATCATGTACGAGCTTAGTGCCTTAAATGTTGGGAATATTTGAATAAAATAAGTGGTTACCTGTTCTGTTTAGAGCCTGGCAACTTTAAGCCCGAATTCTGGGATTCATCCTCCGTATCTATGACTTAGAATAGTAACTTCCATGGGTGTCACTTTAGAATTTGTGTTTCTAATCCAACGCCAGTCCATTATAATAACCCTCAAAGGATTCTCCTAGCAGTCATGTTTATCCTAGAACTCAACTTTTGGCCTGTTTTACATGAGCAGTGAAATAATACTACTGAAATGGAGTAAAAGTAGTTTTGTAGAGCAGTAGAAAAACAAATACTAGTTACATGAATCGTAACATCAAAACATCAGTGCTGTCATTAAGTTTAATTTTATGTAAGGAGTAATTCCAGCATTTTTGTCAAGGAAGTCTAGGAGAGAATTCAAAAGCTGTTATTGACAATGATGGGTGAAAAGGCTAAACTTGACCTACTTTTCACATCTTCCAGCAGCACGATGCCATCAAATGTATGTTACTTACATCAACCACGTAACAGCCTGTTAAAAATATTAAGAAGTTGTGAATGACATTTTCTGATGAAATGTGTTCTCTTTATCTGAACAAGTGGAGGAATGTGTTATGGCTTTTGCTGTTGGACTTGGAAGAGGTGTTGGTTCAGTCCAAATGACTTTTTTATTTCTCTAGGTTCAGGGAGTTGGAAGTAAGGGATGGCGAGACGTCACCACTTTTTTTTCTGGCAAACCAGATGATAACTCTGAAAGGTATTTTTTTTGTTATTATTTTCTGTGTCTCTTTAAACACATAATTTTATCTTCTGTATGTTCTCTGCAGTATAGTAGTAGCAGGTAATTTTTAAATATGAAGAAGTTTTTCTGTCTCTGCTAGTAGTCCTCCTGTATGTAACACGGGAGGAATTCAATCTAACTGTTTATGACAGTTGTTAAACTGAGAACAAAACAGCGCACGGCACCAAATGCGTACCCCCTCGCTCTGGGCCTATTAGTACTTAAGGCTGTTAACAAAAATCTGTGAATTAGAATTTAAGCTTATGCCATTCGGAGCAATATATTTAATTCTTCCTGCCTTTATCCTCAGTTGTTGTTTAAGCAAAGGGCAGTAGCATTACAGTTTTCTTTGTTTGTGGACATTTATTTTTATTGTTATGTTTGTCATAACTAATTTAATTCTACCTTCCTTTTTTTTCCCCCCCCCCATAAAAGACCAGCTGAGGGAGACAGCTACCAGAACAGTGGAGGGGAGGGCTACCAGAACAATGCTGTAGATCAAAGCTTCTGGGAGACCTTTGGCAACTCAGATCCACCAAAAGCTCATAAATCTCCAAGCAGTGAGAGCTGGACCTATGTGGACAATTCCACAGAGAAGAAGAGCTCTGATAGCTGGGACGTGTGGGGCTCAGGAACAGTCTCCAACAACAAGAACAGTAACAGCGACAGTTGGGAAAATTGGGAGACCAACTGGGAAAACACAGGAGGGGAGAGCAAGACCAAAAAACCTCCTAAGGCAACAAAAAAGGTGTCTTCGGATGACGGGTGGGATAACCAGAACTGGTAGAACTCTGTTAACCCTGTTTTGCACAGCTAGGAAAGGGAGGCTATGCTGGCTGATTGAGGGGAGAAAGTTTTACACACAACTGGTGTATCTTGGTTGACTTTACTGATCTGTTACTTTTGTGCTTCCCATTCATTCTCCTTTCTTCTGTCCTGGTTTAGGGAAAAAAAAAAAAAGTAGCATCTGAATCTTTTATTACATAAAAGTGTCTCTCCCTTTTTTAAGGATAATGATAACTATATTCTCCTTGCACTATTGAAGCTGGGTACAGTGACTTTCTTAACACGAATGTTCAAAGGAAAAAAATCGGTGCAAGCACACTGTCATGGCACAACCTTGCATGTGTAGGTTAATAGGTATTCATCCAGTCCTCATATAATTTGAGATGACCTGAGGTGTTTAATGCAAACAAAGGACAGGGTGTGTCTTGAAAAGATAGCCATTAAATGAGCAAACTGCAGTTGAATAGATCTAGTTCAAATGCCTTATGGATCACTCTGACCGTATTAAGTCTGGCAATTCAAGATGGTCTTTAAGATACTTTTTATTGGAGCTTTGTTTTTAAACTTTATGAGATTTTTTTTTTTTTTAGTCTTTTATCCCCTTGTTTTAGTCTTATTTTATCCCCTTAGAATTAATAAGGAATCTAGAGCTGGATAGTTATTTGTGTAAACTCATAGTTTTGACCTGAGCTATCAAGGGATATCCAGAATGGCTCTACTTGCCCTTCTTGCTCAATGCATTAAGAGTTTGCACAGTGCAGCTCTTCTACACGGATAAAATGCAAAGCTGTGGTGTTCTCCTGCCTTACCTACACCCTTCCCCCAGTTTGAGTATTTTATATAGTCTGTTTTTTCTCTGTCCTCTTTCTTCTACCGATCTATTTTATCTATTCTGATAAAAGTGAAATCTTTCTGCTGCTTATGGCCTTTTGGACATCTGTTTGGCAACTTGGCAGTGAAACAAATTTATAAAAAAAGATTCCAGTAAGAAAAAATGGGTGGAAAATATGAGAACATTGAGGAGAGAGGCTGGCAGCAAGCCCCTTTCAAGATGAGTAGATGTCTGGATTTAATAGTAAAATTTAAATTAGACAGCTGTTTTCCAAATTAATCTTTGGTAGATAGATGTCTGGATTTAATAGTAAAATTTAAATTAGACAGCTGGTTTTCCAAATTAATCTTTCAGATGTCAAACTGTATCTCTGTTTCTATCATGTATTTCTCTACATTTTCTTCCTGGATCTTGTTAAAGAAACACTATTTCGGAAACTTTGGAAACTCCTTGTCAGCATTAAGGAATGGAATAGAAGATTCAGTTATGCCTCAGTTTTGACCCAACAGATTTGCTTTGCATGACACAAACCATAACTTCTACTGAAGAATTGTGACTTTAACAACAAAGGTGCCCTATGTGTGCCATTTTATTTTTGGGGGCGTGTTGTAAACGTATACTCAGGCCGAAAACAGTCAGCTCACTTGAAGACTTCAAATCATGATGTCATTGCATAGTCTGCTTTACTGCCAGCATGGAGTTCTTTACTGTGGACTCTGTAAATCTTAATACATACCTAAAAAGCCTTTTCTTTTTAAAATTAGTTAATTTGTCAAGCAAACAACCAACCTAAGTTGTCAAAGTTACCTTAAATAATGCTTCATTTCTTTTTCTCTTCACAGAAGTTTTTTGAACTTACAGTAATATCAAGAGGTTAAAAAGGAAGGAAAATCATGAATCACCTCAAAAGTAGCAGACTTTAAAGGCTTAAGTCTAAGTAGAAGTAGCTCTATTTATAGCCTGATTCTGTATTTCTAGTAATAGGATCTTTCAGATGGTGAACAAAATATTTTTCTAGTCTTCTCTAGCCCTGTCCTGCAAGAGTTCGGATTTCTTTTTTCCCCCTTGCTTCTCCTGACAGCGTGGTCTCTGAAGCTCGTGCAGCAGGTCCCAGTGCTGCTCGCGACCCAAGCACTAACCTAGGCTGAGCCATGCGAGGCGCCCGAGGCGTTCTTGCAGACATGCTGACCCTTTGGAAGTGCCGAAGGCACGAGAAATCTCGGTTTACAATGCTGCTTGTGGTACCATTGGCAGAAGTTTACAGCCTGACTGTAAAACAAGGATTTTGTTCCGCTTTTTCTCCAGTTCCAAATATACCTTTGTCATAGCTTAATTGCATGTCAAACGTAACTGTATTTTTATGCATACACCTCTGTTGCCTACTTGTCATTTGTCTGCTGCCCAGTACGAAACTGTAATGCATGTACTTCGAAGGCGGTGCTGTGTGATGTATGTGAAGTGGCACTGCCCAGTCCTTGACTAACGGTTAGTCTTTGTGAAGTGTTGCAGTAGCGGTGGTGGCAAAGCGCATCCGATGGGTTGCACTGTCTGACTGCTGATGTCTGTCTGGAGCGATGTGAAGCTCATTCAGCTTCCTGTGTACGAATTTATTACAGTTTCTCTTTCATAAACCTCCTGAAATAGCTCGTAGCAGGATAAGCTTTATTTCAGTCCATTCAATCAACGGTATTGTGATGTGTATGTGTACGTTCTCCTCAGCTGTGTGGTTTGCCTAGGAGAAAACTGGTTTATTTATATATCATTTGCAGCTACGATTGGCATGAGCCATTTGTTTGTTCTTCTGGGTTTATTTTTTATCTCTTGAAACTTTGTTCTAAATTAAACGAAACAGCCAGAGCCCTACTCAGGCAGAAGCTTTGGGTAATGATTTTTCTTCCAGTTGAGGAGACAGTGACAGAACAGTTGCCGTCTCTTTTGTTGCTGTGCTGTAGAGAGGCAACAAAATGCTACAGCTCCTAGAAAGGTGTTAATGGAAGATACTAAAAACCAACAGAATGGCAGAAAGTGTAATTGCAGCCACAACACTAGTATACCAACTGGTCTCAGTTTGCCAGGCAAATCGGTATTTTTTTATGACTTGTCTGAATCTGAACGTTTTACCATGTCTTCCAGAGGAGAGGATGAAGTGAGGGCATTTTCTTTTGCAAAGCCTCTGTTTTATTGGATTTTACTTTCTTTTAGTATAGATGGCTGGGGAGTTTCTGCAGTTTAGTGGAATGCATGCAGTCAAGGTGCATGTGTGGAGCGAGTGTTTATGAATTAGACTTTTTTTTTTTAACGTCCGTCGTCCCCCCCCCTTTTTTTTTTTTTTGGCTGATCTTGAGCACTGCAAACAGAGGCATTGAGTGCAGCCTGCTGGAGCTGAGGCCGCCTAAGTGACGATACGGCCGTTGAATCTGAGTGGGCATGTGGATTGGCAAGGCTTTAGTGTCACGGTGTGCTTCACCTGTTTGGTGGGTGAAGAGGGCTCCGCTTCCCTTTCAGTCCCACGCTACGTATTAACAATTTTAGGTCGTACGAGCAAACTCCCAGGAGAGAGCGCAGAAGGTGAAATGACTACTGCAACAACTGGACATTGCAATGTTTGGTTTAAATTTCCTAGTGTTTCAAACTGGTTTATTCCTTTGTATGGCTTCAACTTTGGAAAATACAGAGCAGCTGGATTCCTACAGGTAGTCTGAAATACGAAAAACTTCAAGACATTCAAACTAAGTGCCGCTTGCAAAAGAGTGAAAGTCTTAGAGAACGTTCCTGAACCAGGAACCTAATCCTAGGAGTTAGGGATTATTTTAAAATGTTTCATTTGTGTCTTGAAACCTGTTAATAATTACAACATTTCAAGAAGTGCTTGGCCAGCTCTCCCTCGTGGTTGAGACCTCAACGATAATGCTGCTGCTTTTATTTTCCAGGCCAGACTGTGTAACATTCCATGGGTTCATAATGTATTTATCAGTGTAATGATCTGTGCAATAATTTAACCAGTGTAGGTAAAACTTTTGTTGTTTAATCCAGGATACATTTAAAGATACAGTGGTCCTCTTAGAGAATAGCAGTCTACCAAGGTATTTCAGTTCTCACCTTACTTTGGCAATGTTAAATTTCAGTAACCCTCTTAAGAAAGGCTTGAACAATCAGTGATTAAACAGAAGTCAAGAAACATTACGATGTCCGTTATTAGAGTTTGATTGTAATGGCTTAGTGACCTCTAGCTGTAGAGCCCTCTTTCATTTTCATGCCAGCGGAAACTTGGTCAGTATGGAGTACTGTATCTTTAATTTTCCTGATGTGTTTTATGTGAAGTTCACAGGAATGGCAATTTCAGTGAACACTATTCATTGTTCTGTAGAGTGGTACCGGACTTGAACTGCAGTGTCATCTTTTAAAGAGCATTATAATAAAGCAAAGAGATACGGAGCGGAGTGGTGTTTAGCCCTTTTTCAGGAGACTTCAGTTAATTTTAAACCCTGGGAAAAATCACCCATGTGCATCAGCATAGCTTATGTGGCCTTTTGAACGAAGCAGGTTAGTTCTCAGTACGGTTAGCATCACAGAGTAAACTCAAAATGGGATGCTTCATAATTAAGAAAGTAGGAAAGTATTGTTACAATACGAGTATGAAATGGTCTTGTTGGAGGAGAGTAACTGACATTAACAGCATGAATGTATGTCCTGATGTGCTGGTGTCGTGCATATTCTTCACTGCCGGTAATGAGGGAGAAAGGAAGCTGCCAGTGTTGATGACAGAGCCAAAACCAGGTGTTTCATCTTCATAGTTCATTGGAGTTTCATAGTCTAACTTTAAATGCTAATTTAAGATCTGTTTGAATTAGGAACAGTTTTAAGACGACATTGGTTGCCTCCTTTATTTAAAGAGAACTATAACATAGAAATTAAAGTGGTTGCAAGTAGATTTATGTACTCTGAGATTTTTATTAGCTTGTCTACAAAGGCACTTATCACAGGAGAAAAGGTAACTTTTAAAGAAGTTTTTCTTTCCAAGAAGCGAGATTCCTCTGACGAATCCTTCAGCTGGTGGTGATGCTTCATATTCAGATTCCTGTTTCCTTCATTAGCCAAGCAGCCACGTGAGTACTCCAGATGAGTCGTGACTGCACTGAGCTTGATGTAAATTTAAAATACCTTTTATTATGTTGTTGGTCAGCAGGACTGAATCCTACTTGCCTTGTAGAAGTAAATGTATTGGTTTTTCCACAGAAAAGTGGACATTGGGGTTGGGTAACGGCACTGGTGTTACTCCGCTGACAGGCTGTGTCCATTCTTGCCATAACGTCCTGTGTTAAGGGCTGCTCTGTGTGTTGGATGCAAAGTTTTCAGCTGGGATTACTTCAAGTAAACGGGATGTGCTGGTTCTGGAGGGAGGTTTTTGGCCCTCTGTTCTGACAGCATATGGAGGCCAATGACCTAGAAACGTATGAAATACCATGGAAAGCAATAATGTGTATTCTGAATTTCAAGCTGAGCACAATTGGCAAAAGCTGATAGAAAAAGTGGAGTCTGTAGACCAGAAAATACAATAGTCATTGACTTGAGGGAGAACAGATCACTACTACAGCTACGATGTCCAACTTACTTCTGCTGGGTAAATGTTTCTTTGTGCCTTCACAGCTGTCGCCTTTGTGCTGTGGTCCCAGTAACATGAGCAAGTTCAGTTTAAGCTGTTTTACCATTATATAGCTGTTTATGTACACTTTCATAGCAGATGCAGGCCCAGAAGATGACTACCTGGGTTTCCTGGGGTTCACTGATTTTAAGGAACCAAACATTTGTGCCCTCTGAGGTGTCTGAGAGCAGGCAGCGGGGACGTGTCCTGGTTTCTCTTCTCACTCGCTGTACCTATTCCAGTAGGTTCATCAACGGGCACTCTTCCTTCTGCAACACGCTTTTGGCTCTCTCGGGAGCTGGCTGACCGCCATGACGTTCCCCAAACTCCACAGGCTTAGACTAGTACACGGGTACCCCAGTGCAAAACAGGCATCAGGACAGGGTGAAGGCTGTTCACCCCTCCACTGCTTTGACGAAGGTTTGCAGGATGCGGCCATTGGGTGAAAGCTGAAAGTCCTGTTAAGGAAAGTGAAGTGGAGCTGGGTTGTCCCGTTGGGAAAGCTGTAAAACCCAAAGCCTCTGACGTACGTGCAGCACGATCATTCATCATCTGTTAAGTCACTAATTTGCAAGGAGGCCAAGACACGTTGCCTGTCTGTCTTGGCTCCAGCTGTTTGTGCTCCGTCAGCAAGAAGCTGCA